CGCTGTCGCTCCGCGGCACTTGTTTATCTTGCAGCTTTAATGCGAGATAGGCAAGATAACCATGTTTACTCCTTAACTTAATAATGAACTTTTGGATTTTAGGCTTAAAAATTTTAAATACTGAAAGTCATAAGCAACAAGTTTACAACCACTGTGTCTTATTTGCAGTTTAGGAAACCAGCGACTATGGTGGATACCACACAGGGAGTGAAATTTGAAGCAGGTAAGTGTCACCAAAATTGAGAGCACTGTTTCTCACTTCCTGAAAGGTTTTTGGTGTACACTTTGTTGCTGACCGCATAGCCGTCACGATAACCAATTATTAAACATTTAATTGAGAAACCCAATTTACAAAAATAGCTTTTCATCAATATATGTCACATTATGAATCATACCACTGTGATTAAAACTAGTAGTAAAACGTAAAGACTTCAACAGAAAATTGCAATCTAGTTTATTGTGTGGGTGCTTGAATACCTCAAATTAACTATAATCCCTTAAATTTTACCAACTGCTTTATAATGATTGTATCCGAGCTTCTACGTTTAAGCAACAGCATCATAATTCTGTAATTCTAGCTCCCACGTTCCATCTGCTATTTCCTATGGATTCTATAACCTATAGGTATGATATCCTAGCTGCATCTGTGTTCCTTGATTCTGCCTCACTATCATAGCAACCTGCAGTGCAGTTGCACCTTTTCCCTGTAGTGTTCTCTCATGTCTAAGAAGATGTTGTGTTTACAGATACAAAGCTGACTCCCAGCCAGGCTGGAGGTGATGCGAGGCATGAAGTTGAGATGGATAAGTACGGCAACACGTGAGTATTCCATGCAGTATGCATTTGTCCGCCTTGATCTTCGTAACGAGTATAGGTGTATGTTAAAAATTACAATCAAAAAATTATATCTTTTGCAATATAGAAAAAAACGAATCGCTCCAGCTGTCTTGCGTAAACTGAAAACAGCTTGGCTGGATGCTTTCTACATTGCACTTACTTAGCTACTAAGCCTGTGCATACTGGTTACATATATCTTATAGCAGTTAGGAGACCAAGGGGCGAGTTAAACGTCAAGGTTCATTGTATTTAGG